AGCACCCCCCCCCCCACCCCTCAACACAGTCACCATGGAGACCGCCTGAATGACAGTTGCCAAGGAAACGGCCGGGGGGGGCTGCCACCTTCAGGGTGGAATGGAATGCCCATGCGCCGCAACCCACAAGTCTGTGTTTGCATAACATTTGCATATCATAGGTGGCTCATTTGCATGACAAGTTTGTACAGTGTTTTTTACACAGATTGATTTTGATTGGTAGCGCGGCATTAATTTGCATACAATTAACACAAGCTTTGTGATTCATGGCTGCTTTTCTTCTATCTTGTGCATATACTTAAATCAAAACTGCATGTAATTTGAATATTATTTGCATACATCAATCCCTTTGTTTCCAGTCCAATTCTTCTCTCTTCCCCTTTGGGACGAGAGGCCCAGTGGAGTAGCCGGGATCCCTCGGGGTGGCGCTCTATCTCCGCATCTCTCCGGAACCCTCAGCTCGGGCCCCGTGTTTCCCTTCCAGCCGCCGGATCCTTTTGAGTAAGGGACATTCCAGTCGGAAGCAGCGTTTGTCATACATCAATCCCTTTGTTTCCAGTCCAATTCTTCTCTCTTCCCCTTTGGGACGAGAGGCCCAGTGGAGTAGCCGGGATCCCTCGGGGTGGCGCTCTATCTCCGCATCTCTCCGGAACCCTCAGCTCGGGCCCCGTGTTTCCCTTCCAGCCGCCGGATCCTTTTGAGTAAGGGACATTCCAGTCGGAAGCAGCGTTTGTGCGGGGGTGCGAATTGAACCGGAAGTAGCCAAGTTTTGGCTTCCCACGTGAGTACGCGAGCGGCGCCCTGCGCGGGAGCGGCGCGAGGATGAAGCTGCTGACGCACAACATGCTGACCTCGCATGTGCGGGGCGTGCGGCCCGGGGGCGGCTTCCCCCTCCGTATCCAGGTAACAGGATCCTCCAGCAACCAGGGGCCCACGTCTGCCTGGGCTGATTTCCTCCCCCCATAGGCCTGATGGGGCCCCGGCTGCGCCTCATTGGCTCTTCCGCTCCCCGCAGGCCACCGAGGTGAAAGTGAGTAACGTGGATTTCAACCAGGAGTTCGTGGCACGGATGATCCCCAAGGTGGAGTGGGGGGCCCTGGTGGAGGCTGCTGAGAGCGTGAGTATGGGGGAGGGGCTAGCCCGTTCAGGGCATGGGTGGGAGGAGCTTGGCAGGGGGAGGAGCTCACTCTGGGCGCTATCATGGCAGATAGGCAGCATGGATCTGCACTGCAGCCTTTGGGGGGATTGGAGAGAAGTGGTTTTGGGAAGCATCTGAGTCGATAAGAGCAAACCCTCTCTTCTGGTGCAGCACTGTGACATGGATCTTCCTCCTCCTACAGCTGGGCCACCTGTCAGACCTGCCTCCCCAGCTGCCTCCTGAGTATGAGAACAATGAAGACTTCCTGAAGAAGGTGCATCATGTGCTGCTGGAGGTGAGATTCTTCTCCACAATCCTTGTCCACAACCCCCCACCAGCATCCTGTGTGGTGCAGGGCCCTGGCTTCCAGGCACCACAAAAACCCTGGCTAAGGTTGTATGACAGGGGCCTATGATACAAACACAGATCCTTTCCTGGTCTGGCTGAGACACCGGGGAGTTATCCACCCATAGAGACACTAGGGCTCCCTGGAATCCTCCAGCGTGGGGGACCTCTTTCAGTTGTTGCTCTTGTTCTAAATGTAAGCCCAGGGGACCCACTCACAGTGAGAGTATGTTGATAGTGCAGCGCATTCTCCCACTGCTCTAGCTGTGTGTTGAAATCCACTCTCATGGGTTCTGGCAGTTCAGCAGACACTCTAGCACTTGGATTATATGATCCTTTGGCTTTTGCAGAGCATCCTGCCCCCTCCCCAACTGCTAAGAATCATGAGGTGGTTAGGGAGTTGTGACTTCAGCAAAACACCTCTAATCTCAAACATTTGAGAGGGGAAAACTGGTGTTCTGGGGAAGTTCCAGCTCTCCCTTACAGCATTTCAGGTCTGGATTGGGTAGAGCCAGGGCACAGGCTGTCCACTGTAGCTGACCCGTGATTCTTCCTCACACACAGGTGGAGGTGATGGAAGGTGTACTGAAGTGCCCTGATTCTGGCCGGGAGTTCCCCATCACCAAGGGCATCCCCAACATGCTGCTAAGTGAGGAGGAGACGTGAAGGGCCTGGGTGTCCAAGACGGAAAGATGGGGTAGGGGAGCTCCCTGAGGTGGGAGGGAGAGTCCTGTATGATGTAGAAGACAGTCTTTGCTTGTTTGGTTTGTGTATAAATAAAACTATGAGGTGGAGCCTGGCCTAGGGCATACCATCTATTAATTGTCCCTCCTCCCCTGCTGTGTCGCTCAATCCTAACCTGCAGCTCTCAGCTATCCCAGCCCTGGGCTTCCTCCCACCCACTGTTGTGCTGGCGACTTTCTGTTCTAGTACCATCTCCATGCTTAGTCCTGGGTCTGTCCGAGCATTGACCTACCCCACACCTTGCACCGAACTCCCTGTTCCTCTTGGATAGTTATTTGGTTTGCAGTGGTACCTAGGAGTCCTAGACCTGAAACAGATCCCCCGGTGGAGTGGGCACTGCTCAGATACCCAGTCAAGAGCAAGGCCTCTAGTGGGCTAGGTGCTGCACAAACACAGAACAAGACAAAGATCCTGCTCCTTCTTAACTGCTAGGAAGGAAGACTGGACACAGACTGATATCTCCATGGTTTATTCTGGCTCTGGAATATAGCTCTATGTATGTGTGTGTATAGCACCTATACACAAAATAGAGGTATTTATAATATATACACATACATAATTTAATACAAACGCCCTCCATGTCACCCCACTTGTTATAGAAATGGGGAGACTGAGGATACACCCCCAGAGGGGAGCAGAGATGAAGGGGTCACGTATTATCCTGCAACAAATATACAGTTTGATATATTGCTATGTACATGTTTCTCAGCATCTTCACCCCATCCCAAGGGAAAGGGGGGGCTTATTGCTATGGGCAGCAGAGGGTCAAGAGGAAACTTGAGGGGGGATGGAGGGGATACTGGCCTCTGTTTCCTTCCCTAGGGACCCCCTCAATATGGCCAAGCCTTTGCAACCCCTCTTCCTATCTGTACAGCTGCCCAATCACAGTGCTGTTTTTCCCCTCTCCAAATTCCAAAGCCTTCTCTGTCTTAGTCACCCCCCCCAGCCCGGGCCCAACTACATCAGGGGCTCCCCATGTCAGATCCCCACTCCTGTCAGATTCTCAACCATTTTGGGTGTGGGGGGAGACTAGCACTCACTGGGGTTCCCAGATCCTGCTGTTAAGTTATCTATGCCACCCCACTAGATTTTCCCTGGAAATCCCGGGTTCCTGCACCCTCCACCATGTTTCAAGGCAAAGTACAGGCTTACCACCCCCCAAATCTCAATTTCCTTCCTAGGACACAAGAATATACTCCCCTCTAATCTAGGAGACACCCACACACTTCCTTGGCTAAGTCAAGGGACATCGCCCCCCCAGCCTCCGATCCCCAATTGAGGGGACCCCAACACTCTCCTCATCTACAGTATCCCCACTACAGGGTTCTCCCAGCCCTGAGCCAAGAGACCATCAGAGGGTTCCCCTCCCCCCACCAAGTGCATACATTGTTTGTTTATTGCTTGAAGGGATTGTAAACCCCTCATCCCCACTATGGGGCAGGGGTGGTAGGTCTCACAAAGTCCCACTTTGGTTTGAGAAGGTTATTTTCCCCACACACACACTTTCTCCCCTAAGCAGAGAGTTCAGTGAAGAGAGGGACACCCGACAAACAGGGGTGATGTCCCTAGGAAGGCCCCGCTTTCAGAGAAAATCACTTGCCCTTGTTACTGCCTTCCCCACCTAACTGATCCCCTCCAGTGGCAAGCTACCTACAGTCCAAGCATGCACTGGCTGCTGGGCAAGCACCACTCAACGAGGAGCTCCCCTGTTCTGAGGCAGCGACCACTCAGGCCAGGTCTGCGTATATGAGGTTAACATATCCCTATAGTCCAACTTTTTGCTATTCAGGTCCATTATGGCTTCCATAGGGGGCCCTGGTGCTCCCCCCAATCCCTCCCCCAGCTAATAAGTTAGAATATGGCTTCCAGTGCATATGGGGGGGGCGGGATCCCCATGTCAGTCTGTCCCCTCCCACGAATGTCCCCCTCTGTCTCCAGCCCTGTGGCCATGCTTTCCCCCCCCCAGCCACATCAATCCTCCCACTATCTGCCCTACTGTCCTCATGCATCCCCCCCATCCCTCATCAGCCCCAGAGAGAGAGTGTGTCTGTCCCCCAACACTCACTGTCCCAGTGTCCATATGTCTGTCCCCGTCCCCACCCCCACCCCCCTACTCCTCCTGCTTGTCTCTCTCCAGCATCTGTCCCATACCTCCCTGCCCCTCTCCCATATCTATGCATCTGTCTCCCTGCCCCAGGTCAGTCGGTCAGTCAGTCAGTCCCCGAGCCTTCACCCCAGTCCATGCGTCTGTCCCCCCCACACAAAGGAGGGGGAGGTGTCAGTCCATCATGGCTTCCAGCATCTCAAGAAAGAGCTTGTGCATGGGCACCTTCCCTCCCAGCTTGATGCCGTAGAAGTGGTGCAGGGCGCGGGCGGCTGTCTGGCGCAGCAGTGGCAGTGTGAGCAGCAGCTTTCCTGCCCTGCATGGCTCTTCCGGCCGTCGGCTGCTCTCATACTCCAGCAGGGCCTCATGCAGCACATCCCGCA